CCAATCCATTTTGGCAACTCGTCATAATTTCTGAGGCAAAACCTGGTTATTATTAAAATGGCTTCCGTGGCAGTCAGGTAATGCTCCATTTGAAATCATGTATTAAAAATAATACTTTCCAGTGACTCTTTGGGGGGGGGGGGCTCCGCCGCCGTCACCTGAACGTTCGCGGAGGGATCGAACAGCCGGAGAACCGAGGCAGGGAGACGGGGAGGGGAGGGAGAGAGCGCGGCGCAGGAGGAGTGCGCACGGGCGGACGGACAGTGTGCTGAGCAGCCATCGGCCCCGCTTCCTGGAGGATGTCTGCGACCACAGTGGACCACCAGCAGGTCTGTTTCGGTCCCGCTTTTAGGTTCGGTTGGTGGGAGGCAGGCTGGGAAAGTTTGCCGACAGCAGTTCAATCCTAGTGGGGATTGCCATATCAACAAAAAGCTACGATATGTGGTAGCTCTTTAGCCGCCCGGAAACGCAGGCAGGCCGACCCGAGGTTCACGCTGGCGCCGGCCGGTTGTAGTCGATCGGCGTTGTGGACGCCTCGGCGTTCGACATCCGCTTAATACGGAGAACCAAGCAGTCTGAAAGCTGCAGCTAGCCCATTGACATGTTCATCCACTGAAACGGCATCATATATGTGCTAATGCAGTCATTCCCAACCAGTGAGCCGGAAGAGGTCATCACGTGTGCCTCCAGAAGTCATCCAATTTCACTACTTTGGTCCGAAAATGGTTTATTCCTTGAAAACAAGATGCGACTGGTTCTATCTCTGCCAGCAACTTACATTGACAGGCAGAATGACGAAATTCTCTCCCACGAGATGGCAGACGTACGCAATGAACCTGCCTCTCACTTTTTGTGACATATTTGTTTGGTGGTGTGTCTTATTGGAAAGCGTGTCGTCACTGTTGTGTTAATGCAATCTTTTTCACCATTCCAGAGACCTAAAGGACAGGGAAATAAAGGTAACTGTAGAGGAACATTATGTTCCAAAACATGCATGCATTTTCCATCTTGCACCACCACACGGATATTACCAGAAATGAAATATTCATGTGTATTATGGTCTAACCCCGCTGTGATTTCACGTTGCGTTCTTTTCCAAGCAGTGCAAAACGGATCAATGCATCAAAAGGACGGAGTGAATGATGATGACTTTGAGCCTTACATAAGCAGCCAGACAAATCAGGTAATATGGGATTAATTAAATGGTTGCGGCCACGCGCCGCAAACTAGCTTCGAGCAACTGGTCAGCGTAAAACACAACCCGGTGCCATTAAAAAGTGACGCCATATTTGCAGAGATTGTCACTATGTAACATGGTGATTATGGCATCAAGATTTTTTTTTTTTAAATGTCAATCCTGTGCCATTGCTTGATCACGGTTGGGAAACGTAGCATTAACGGGTTGCGATGTCTTCACCATGCAGGGTAACAGCTACCCACCCATGTCTGATCCCTACATGCCCAGCTACTATGCGCCGTCGATCGGATTTCCGTACTCTCTGGGAGAGGCCGCCTGGTCCACAGCCGGAGACCCGCCCATGCCCTACCTGACCACCTACGGACAGATGAGCAATGGCGAGCCGCACTTCATCCCCGACGGCGTCTTTAGCCAGCCGGGTGCTCTGGGCAACACGCCTCCCTTTCTGGGCCAGCACGGTTTCAACTTCTTCCCCGGCAACGCTGACTTTTCCACTTGGGGCACCAGCGTGTCCCAGGGTCAGTCCACGCAGACTTCCGTCTACACTAACAGCTACGGCTACGCGCCCAGCTCGCTGGGCCGCGCCATCGCGGACGGACAGGCCGGCTTCAGGAGCGACGCGCAGCTCAGTAAGATGCCGGTGTTGAACAGCATCGAGCAGAGCATGGCGGGGCTCAAGCTGGGTACGGACATGGTCGCGGCCGTCACGAAAACGGTGGGCTCGCCCTTAGCGGTCACGGCGGGGATGAGCAGCGTGGCGGCCAATAACCTGCCGCCTTCCGTGAGCTCGTCGGCGGGTAAAACCGCCTCGTGGGCGGCCATCGCCCGGGGATGGTGGGCGCCGCCGTTCCTCCTCCGCCCATCAAGCACAACATGAACATTGGCACCTGGGATGATAAGGGTCCCCTGAACAAGCCGCCGCTCGCTCAGACGATGATGCCGACCCCGCCTCTGGTGCAGCAGCCTCTTCTCGCCCAGCCCCCGGCCTTACTGCAGAACCCTTTGCCCCATCAGCCTCAACACCAGCACCAGCCCTTCCACCTGCAGTCCCTCCAGTCCCCGCAACACCCTCAGTCCCTCCCGCCCGGCCCCCTGCACCTCTCCTCTCACCCGGGCCCCCCGCCGGCCCTCCATCAGCATCAACCCCAACAGCCCGGCCCGCCGCCCAACCGCTGGGTGGCGCCCAGGAACCGCGGCGACGGCTTCGGCGTCGGCGTTCCGATGAGCGCCTCGCTGTGCTCGGGCGAAGTGCACCCCGTGCTGGAGAAACTGCGCGCCCTCAACAACTACAACCCCAAAGACTTTGAGTGGAACTTGAAAAACGGACGGGTTTTCATTATTAAGAGCTATTCGGAAGATGACATCCACCGCTCCATCAAGTATTCCATCTGGTGCAGCACAGAACACGGCAACAAGCGTCTGGACGGGGCCTACCGCTCGCTGGGTGGCAAGGGGCCCCTGTACCTGCTGTTCAGCGTCAACGGCAGCGGGCACTTCTGCGGCGTGGCCGAGATGCGCTCGCCGGTGGACTACAACGCCTACGCCGGCGTCTGGTCTCAGGATAAGTGGAAGGGCAAGTTCGAGGTGAAATGGGCCTTCATCAAGGACGTGCCCAACAACCAGCTGCGACACATCCGGCTGGAGAACAATGACAACAAGCCGGTGACCAACTCCAGGGACACTCAGGAGGTGCCCCTGGAGAAGGCTAAGCAAGTGCTTAAAATTATCGCCACTTACAAGCATACCACCTCAATCTTTGATGACTTTGCACATTACGAGAAACGCCAGGAAGAAGAGGAGGCTTTGAGGAAGGTAAGGTCAACGCGGAGAGCAAGACGGTGGCTGTGAGACGCTCCCTAATCAGATTGACGGCAGCGAAAACGTTCTGGTTGGATTGGTTTAGTAATACGTTACACATTAGTTGCCATGACTACCACACGACTTCTTCTCCTTTCTTATGTGACTTCTCATACCCAGGAGTGACTTACCATATTTTCCGGACTATAAGTCGCTCCTTAGTATAAGTCGCACTAGCCATAAAATGCATAATAAAGAAGAAAAAAAACATACATAAGTCGCACTGGAGTATAAGTCACATTTTTTGGGTGGGGGGGGATTAATGCGATAAAATCCAATCCCAAGAACAGACATGTCATCTTGAAAGGCAAATAAAAATAAAAATGGAGAACAACAGGCTGAATAAGTATGTTACAAGCTAACGTTACATGACGCATAAACAACAAATGTGCCTGGTATGTTCACGTAACATATTAAGACTTATTCCGATAACTATTGCATAAAGAACACACGAACAAGTTTACCAAACCACCAGTGTCCCTCCAAATCACGAAATCCAATGAAATCTTCATCCTCGGTGTCTGTTTGAAACAAGTCCGTCAACTCTGGAGGTAGAAGATGTGGCGCTTCCTATTCTACGTCGCTTACGTCACTCATTGCCGGTTTATCAACACAGGCCTAGAGCGCCCTCTTGCGGTTTAGTGTGAAAATAACATGTGAAATGATATAATAATGTGTGAATAATTTCACACATAAATCGCACCCCCGGCCAAACTATGAAAAAAACTGCGATTTATAATCCCAAAAATACGGTATGTTTTTTTTTTCTTCACAATGCATTTTTTTGGGTGCAGTTTATACTCCGGAGTGATTTATAATCCGATAAACACGGTAAATATTTGTGTTGTTTTTAACCGTTATACTCAACCTATAAAAGCTGACATGAATGACGGGAGTGAAAGTTCTTTAGTCGACTCAGTTGTAATCAATTGAGTCTAATCACTGATGGCACTTCAATCCTCCGCTCTGGATGGGATGCCAAATGTTAAATATTCAATTTGATCAAATAACGATATCAAGAACACAGCAGGGCTGCAACGAATGATTATTTTAATTCATCGGCGAATCGGTGTCCAAAAAACATTTCCATCCCTTGGTTCAAAAAGAGGGTGTTGGTTTCAAATTGGGAGCGTAGAAAAATCAAAAAAAAAAAAAAAACGATTTGGTTACCGTTGACGTGTCCGGAAAAAAATAAACAAAAATGTCGATCGTTGTTTTCCAAAGTAAAAGAAAAGATTTGATTTGGATTTTAACAGATAATAACGAGGAGCCGTAGTCACCTCAACTTGGCTTTGCGTACTTGACACCCTGCATCGCTACCTGAAAAGTCGACTTATACCGGAAGACCGCAAATTCGACGGTTGACATCACCTTCCCATCCCTTTTGCGTGAATGCAAATCACAACAAAATACGGATACCTGATGATGTTTTTTTTTTTCTCCAGCTTGCCTTGTTTCCCTTTGTACCATTTTGACTTTCAGTCCCTTTTCGGAGTCGTTCAAAATAGGAACTATTTGTCTGTCTGACTGTCTCAGAGGGAGCACTTCCCCTGTCGTACGTACACGTGCTCTCTTTTCACTGAGTCACCGCCTGAAAAAAAATCAGCTGATCCACCTGCTCACTCTGGTCGAAGTGGAACTTCCCGACAAGTCATGCTAACTGCCGAGCGGCGTTTCAAAAAAAGAAAAAAAAAAGGCCTGACACTACCGACAGCCATCTTGTGAACGTGATGAGCTCCCTCCGACAGGGGAGGTCTACCCAAGGAGGGGGGGGCCTTGAAATAACCCGCATTCCCGGCATTCCCTGTTCGGAGACAAAGGCAGATGCAGGCCTTTGAACGCCAAGCTGGTGACAGTAGCCCGACTCGGTGGTGTATACATTCCCGTTTTTAGCTAAAGTCGGTGAAGTTTAAACACCCGCACAAGTCAAATACAACGGGATGGGAAACCTCACACCCCTATCCTGGCTTTGCGCCATCTCCGTTCAACACGAGCCTCTGTTGATATAACCCAAGAAGCCGTCTGATTGGCAGCTCGATGTCCACGCGGGGCCGTTCGCACAGAGCAGTCATAATCGGGCGGAAAATCCCCCGGCTTTAAAATAGGCAATGTGAAAAGGGGGCGTCAGTAACAACGGAACACGGCGCTCGATATGTTACAACACCCGTCTTATAACGTCCATATGGTCACTAGTACGTTGATACAATCGTAAAAACGAGCGCATGCCGCTGTCCCCATAATAGAGACATTGTGTATATTAATAGTTATGATGCCCAGAGGTATGAGCGTGGAGGTCAGCCCACAAAAGGTTTCATTCAGCAGCCGCGTCCGTTTAAAAGCGTCACCGCAGCAACCGTTCAACACTGATTATGTTGAAAAATGGACATATCTTCATAATTATGAAAATAATGAGAGTGAAACCTTGAGTCAAGCCAAGAATTGGAGAAAGCGGATTAGCTATGTAGTCATTAAAAGATATTCGCGTACAAACCTCAGGTTGCTGGAATAGATCTCACAAGGGTCGGGTGACAACGAGGATCTCTAAAGTGGCCACACCGCGCGAAGCCCCCTGTTCACACGCTGGCTGTCAAGTCAGACTTAAAAAAAATACATATTCTCCCATCCAGCCCCCTTTGTTGTCCCGCCTTTCTCTGCATGACAAGCTGATACGCACAGCAGACGACGAGGCGCTCTAAAGTGGCCACATCAGCCCAAAATCCAGTCCATATAATCATACCCCAATATTTGGTGTAGTCCTTTTCCGAATCATATGACCTGAAGAGTTTTTGTTGGATTTCCTAGTACATTCTGACATTTTCTTGCAAAAAGCTCATCGATTAAAACTTTGAAAACAAAAAAATGAAAATAACTCAAAAATCTGCAAAAACATTTTTAAAATTAGCATTAAAATTAGCATAAAAAAAAACACATGAAGCCATCTCTGAATGAAATTTGCGATTTACCAGTGTAATCAATCTAATCAAATTATTATTTTCTTGGGGGGGGGGGGGGGTCAAAATCTGAATTGTACCGCTGCATTTGCTTTAGCGGATCAAAACAAGCCCGCAGTTGTTTGTTGTGTCGGCACCTCCCAATGACGTCTCGTCTCTTTCTCTCGTTGGCAGGAACGCAGTCGAAATAAACAGTAACCTCCAGGCCAACGAGACATCCTCACACTAAAATGACGTAGGACCTTCAAAACAACGATAAAATTAAGAGTTGCTTTACCACGAGGACGACGACGACGACCAACCGATCACGCCAACACTCGACGTGTGGATTTCAAAGCCACCTGCTTTGGAAGCACTTTCATCCCCTCACCGTTTCAAATTTTGTTTGCAACTAACTTGACTAATCAGCGTAGTCGCCATGTTGTTTTTCATTTTGATTTGTAAATCATTTGAGCCCTCTCTCGTTTTGGGATCAGTTATTCGGGTGAGTTAATTGGGGGAAACCGCAATCACGCCAATCGGAGGCCATATTAACCCGCATACCGAAAGAATGTGACGGACGGGCTCATCTTTTGTTTTTTTTTTTTCCTTCTTCTGTTGTGATTCTTAAGTGCTTTCTGTCTGAGGAGAATGTGGCCGACTCACTAGCGACAATAAAGAAACGAGCTGTGTTTAGCGAAAAAAAAAAAAAAATCCCCCAAGAAATTGTGTTCGTCTTCATTTGGAGCAAGTCGAATGAGTTGACAAGGATGCTACACCAGAGGGTTTATAAAACATCACCTTGATGACTTCCCGCTCGGATTCACTAGCAATTAGTTTTTGTTTAGTCAAATCGGAAGCCGCTAAAGACAACAAGAAGCGACAGCTGCTGCCATTATCCGCCTCGGCTACTTAAGCTTTTATGAATCATTTTTAATTAGTGAAAATGATGTTAGCACAATTCAAATGTAGTCTTAATGACACACGCACGCACACCACAAAGCTTCCATTTAATGTCAAATGAAAAGACCATTGTGCTAACAAACTGCCCAAAAGTATTAATAAATAAAATGGTTATGAGCAGAAATTAAGTTTTATTAAAAATGGAGCAGGGGGAGTATATTATGCCAGTGTTTGTTTTTTTTAATTTTTACAAAAGGGGTTTTATTCTTCAGCAATACCCAATCGCATCATGTAACATACACGTGAAAATATTGTAGATTTATTGACATTAATATACAATGTACACAATTCAGTATATTTTTTATTTTTATTGTAAAAATTGGTCCAGCATATTGTTTTTGGAAATCTAATTGCATCAAACATTTGATGCCATTTAATGTTTTAAAAAAAAAATCTAATTTAAAAATGGCCAACTTTTTTTGTTTAAACAAGCTAATTGCATCCAAATGTATTTCAGATTTCTGGTGTACTGTTTTTTTTCTCATATATTTATACGCTTGATTGAATTTGTAAGTCGGTCCAAATCGTTTATTTTTAACAAACAAAACCAAACTATAATAGAAGCAAAAAAAATATATCAACACCTTGACCGACATCTTTTTACTGCACAGGTGTGACGCACCAAGATGCTGATTAGACACGATGATTACACAGGTGTGCCTTTGGCTGCACACAGTAAAAGTCTAATCAAAAACATGCAGTTCAACTGTACTGAATATGTATATTCTGTTTGACATATGAATTCTACACACTTTTTGCATATATATGAAAAATACTGCAACATTATTTAAAAAAAAATTAATGACACCCAAATCAATACAATTTAATGCACGCGATTTAAATAGTGTAATTTTCTTATTGTGTTTTCTTTTTGAAGTGGGTCTAACATTTTATGGTTCTTATCAACGACATCCATCCATCCATTTTCTACCGCTTATCCGGGGTTGGGTCGTGAAATCCAATTGCTAAAAAAAAAAAAAAAAAAATGAATCTACGTAATTTCTTATACTGTTTACCGTAATGTAGTTTAATACTGTAACATTTGGCGGTAATTCCAAGCAACAAAGCCCTTTGTGTCCACTAGAGGGCGCCATCCGTCAGCTTTGATGTTCCTGCTCCCAATTGCCCCAGTGGTCCAACGAAAAGCCTCGCCAATAACCAGCAAAGCCCTCCAACTCCCCCAGAGCCAATTAAACCAGGACGAGAAGCACTTGTTGTGCCTCCGCAGTTTTTTTTTTTTTTGAAGATGGCAGCTCTACGAATGCCAGCTCGCCAAATCTGTGCAGCGAGCGCGGGAGGAGTGCGAAAATGTCCCATTATGTGTGTCTGGGAGGCGGGATTGAGGGGGGGACTTGTTAACTTGTGCATCGACCAGGTTTTCTGAGGGGGAAAAAAATAACACTCTTGCCGCTTTTCGCTTTTGTCTGCGAACACCACAGGCACATTCGAGCAGGGGGGTACTTGCTGTTTATTCGGCCAAGAGTCACGCAGAGATGTGTATAAGAAGCAAATTAATTAGAGACCTCTTGTGGGATGTTGTTTTTTTTTTCTTTCCCAATTAAGTGAATTAGACAGTAAAACGCAGCCTTAAGCTTTTTTGGAAAAAAACATATTTCGAAAATCAATTGCAAATCTGGAAAGCCCTCGTCAGGTCTTTGAATTTGAGTTGATGGCAGATGTCTATTGGCTAAATAGGTCGTACCAATAATGATGTCACAAGTTGCTACTTAAAAAAAAAGAAAGAAAGAAAGGTTGAGTGGCGGTTTCCCAATCCTGAGGTTGCCGGTTTGATCCTTGCCCATTGTGGCCATGTTGATGTGCCCTTGAGCAAGACACTGACCCCCACAGCCCCCTGCACCCCAATTGCTCCTGATGCCGCGTCATCAGTCGGTGAATGAGCTAACAGTGGAATTTGCTTTCAGTACCCGAGGTAGAAAAGCAATAACAATGATATTAAGAAGAAGAGTGAAAGCCAACACAAGGTTAACGATAATGACTTGGCACTGCCTGCGGTTTCAAGGCGCTAAATTAGGAAGTAAAAACCAGACAAAATAATCAGTAGGCTTTTTATTTTGCGCTCCGGGAGAAAGAGCGAGGAAGGCAAGAAAAAGTGGGCTTTTGATTGACACCTCGCCGCAGTTTGTGAGGCTGTCTGTTGCTATGGTTACCCCATTACAAGCGCCCGAGAGAGAGATGAAGCGCAGCCTTCTTCACCGTGCCACACGCGCACACTGGAAAGATCGTTTGTCGGCTAATATTTGCGTTAAATCTGTCAAATCAAAGTGTTGGATTATGATTTTCATCAGGAATATATCCCACGCGCGAAGCTTTTCTTTACACAAAAGAAGCGTTCGTTTTACACAGCTAATTTGATCGAGCGCACGCCGTAGCATTTCAACAACATTGTAAAGCACTTCGAAGCGGCGTTAAGGTTTAGAGACATCGTAAAAACGCATCCCGTTTAACTTTTTTTTTGTGTGCCTACTCAGTTTCATTGTGTAAAAAAAACAAACAAAAACACAATTACGTTTTTTTTGTTTTGTTTGTCTGTTGTTGTACAATGACATGTACTCCACAAACATGGTTGACATACGGCCTGTGTGCAGCGACACACTGAAAAAAATTCATTCAGACACTCAACAAATACGAATTAAAAAAATGTAAAAAAGTGCTACAGCAACACATACCACAAATATGGCCGCCGTTTGGAGCCCGTGCAGTGTCACACACTGAAGAAAATTGTCGCGAAACACTACAAATACAAAAATCTCATTGACACTCTTGGGAAAAAGTCACACAGCAATATACCCCACAACCATGGTCAACATACTCGAATTATTCAACGTCGCATCAAATTTAAAAAATCTCAGCCGGCAACATACTCCACAAATATGGCCGACATACTTAAAAAGTCGCGTGGCAAGCAATACATTCCACAAACATCGCCGACTTGTACGCATCGTCGCACACATGCTTTGGGCACACACACACACACACACACACACACACACACACACACACACACAAAAATGTTTTACATGCGTTGCATAGTGTCACACACTCCACAAAGATGGCCGACATAGCGACGCGTTCCGTCAGAAAACAATCGCAGCCTCCACAAAGATGGCCGATATAAGCAGTCTATTCAGTGACACGATTAAAATAAGTCACACGGCAACTTACTCCACTAAAATGGCCGACATACATTCATTGCGCGGTGACGCACGACAGGAAAACTCCCATGTAGCTGCTCTGCGCCAAAATGGCCGACATAGAGGCATGGCAGTGTTTCACAAGACAAATAAAGTCCCGTTTTCCAAAAATACCGCTACGACGGCCGGTATTCCGGTTGTGCTGTGTTGTCAACGCACTCCACAAAGATGGCCGACTTATAGGACGTGTTGATGTATTTTGCGGTGTTGTTTCAAAGCAGTCATGCTAGTTTGTGACCATTGTCTTGCTTCGGCCATTTCTTTTAAATCGAACACACACACACACACACACACACACACACACACACACACACACACACACACACACACACACACACACACACACACACACACACGCAGACTTTTGGCATTTGGTTCTGAATAGAAGCGCGAATGACCTTCTGCGTGAATCGCTGGCCTTTTTCCTCCCCCCGGCAAACTTCACACTGCGCTCAAGTGGAATAAAGCGTCACATTGATTTTCTTTAGCTTATTTTCTCTATAGCGTCTGCAGCCGCGCAATCCATACGTGCTGAACCGGTGCGAGGGCTTTTAACGTTGACCCCCGCAGAATGCTGCAACTCCAACATACCGTACTTGGAGCGTGTTGAATGCATTGCGTGTTGGCGTGAGACGTGTTCAAGGCCTCATGGTGGGAAAATGTCTCCTGGCAACCGAGACAAGGAATTAAAGTCATGCATGGAGCATATATATACGGTCCGCCCGGTTCTTATCAAGAGGTTTGGTGCATGAATGAATCCGATTTTCATGAAATTATGATTACAAAATAAAAATAATGGTAGAATCATAATTTTTTAAAAATGATTATAAAATTCGACACTAACAATGCACAAATTAAAATACCAAGAATACATCAAAAAGTAAAAGGAAAATATTACATTAAAATTCACAGGTAAAAGATTAAAAGTAGGAAAAATTAGAAACTGAAAATAAACATAGTATTGTATTATTATTATTACAAAATAAAATATGTACAATGAGAATGCAAAAAATATGAAAAATATATAAATTGTAAAATGATCAACAATGTTATAACAAATGATAAAATACAATCCAAAAATAATAAACACTATTGTTATTATTGCTATTTTTATTATGATAAAAACAGTCAAATATTTTTTAAAAATGTCTAATATAATTATAATTATAAATAGTACACTAAAAATAAAACAAAAAAAATCTATGTAATTTAAAATACATTAATAAAAATAAAATGAAAAATAGGAAAATGAATGTAAATAAAATGATTCAAAAAGTTATCAGTCTATAAATGATACAATACACAATTAAGTTAAAAAATGGAAATAAAAGCAGATTGAAATACACTGTTAAAAGTAATACTAATAGCAATTAATACTAAAAATTACTATCAATTGAATATATTTTAAAAAGTGATTACAACTTAAAATAAATATATTGTACAATAAAAATACTAGAATTACGAATACTAAAAACACAAAAGAACAGCGACAATAAATATGAAGAGACAAATTACGAAATAATCTAAATACAACAATGATATCTG